CCAGGTTCTCTCTGTCCAATCTTTGTCTATGATGCAAGCCTACACACACATGCTTCTTATGAAATGGTTACAACACATCAATACAACATTTACTCATTCATTATTTGGTATAAAGCTGATAATATGGACTGTATTGTTGTGCGTCTGCGCTTGTGTTGTTGTATGGCTGTCTTCTTCTGTCTCCTGGGTGTATAGAGCTGTTTGCTTGTTTATTCAGTCTCAACTCATGTACAAATGCAGTAATAGTGGGGTTAAGTGATGTAAAAAAAAAAATACTAGTGTAAATGTCTTATCTTTGATGTCGAGACACAAGGTCAAACCACACACAGGCTTTTCAGATAACGATATGAATGTTCAATTTCATTCAATGTGTTTGTGGCCATGGACTGAGGCTGCAGATCCAGGACTGAGGCTGTAGATCCAGGACTGAGGTTGTAGACCCAGGACTGAGGCTGTAGATCCAGGACTGAGGTTGTAGATCCAGGACTGAGGCTGTAGATCCAGGACTGAGGCTGTAGACCCAGGACTGAGGCTGTAGACCCAGGACTGAGGTTGTAGATCCAGGACTCAGGCTGTAGATCCAGGACTGAGGCTGTAGATCCAGGACTGAGGCTGTAGATCCAGGACTGAGGCTGTAGATCCAGGACGGATGTATTTTCAAAGCAACATGCACGATGGCCGTGTTGTGTTGCCGTCTCATTCAGGTTGCCAGATTATTTGGTGAAATCCAGCTTGTTTTTAACAGCCCACCAGCACCAGAGTAAGACACCGGCAACCCATGTCTGTTATTATGGTATTGTAGTAGCATGTGTAGTTACAACAGTCAGAGCAAAAACCACATATTTCCTTTTACAGTTGAGATTTCTACTGACGAAAGAAGAAAGATATCATCAAAATCCATCAACATTTTACTTTTACTTAAAACATAAATAGTGACTCCCTTGGCCTCTTCCTAAAAGTTTGCAAGTGAACTATTTAGATTAGGACTAAGTGGTCGGGTTTTGGTTTCCTCAAAGTCAGGTTTGTGTCTTGCCCAAGGACTTTACAGACCGTAGGTAGCATGTGATTGGAGCTAGCATTTACGTATATAATGCAGAATATTATAGTGATTTGTGATAAGGCTTTTCATTGCAGAAAGAAGCTGTATTTGAATGGACCGTCTGTCTGTGTACTGTAGGCTGTGTCCTACTTATGTACCGTAAACACTGAGCAGATATAAGCTGGTGTCTCCTTACAAGAAGTAGTTTGTGTTGATTCGAGTAGATTCACAGCACGATTGTCCAATGGGACCTGCACAAATGTCTTATGTCAAGGTCGGTAGCAACGTTTTTCCTCTTCCAAGTCACATTCAGATTCAGTTTATTTGCCATTTGCGGTAAAGCCACATTGGAATGCATTTATGAAAGTCCACCAGTGTGAACCAGACAAGTACAGAAACAAAACAAGCTAAAGTAAGAAGTAAAAAATATGTTTAAAAAAGTCTATATCGCTCTATGTAGATGAGAAACTCTGTAGTCTATTATAATGTGATTCTCTCTGCTCTCTCTCTGGTCTTTGGTCTCTATTTGGTCTCCCTCTGGTCTCTCTCTAGTCTCTCTCTCTGGTCTCTGTGTGGTCTCTCTCTAGTCTCTCTCTCTGGTCTCTATGTGGTCTCTCTATCTGGTCTCTATGTGATCTATATCTGGTCTCTCTCTCTCTCTGGTCTCTCTCTCTGGTCTCTATGTGGTCTCTATCTGGTCTATATCTGGTCTCTCTCTAGTCTCTCTCTCTAGTCTCTCTCTCTGGTCTCCCTCTCTTCTCTCTCTGGTCCCTATGTGGTCTCTCTCTGGTCTCTATGTGGTCTCTCTCTAGTCTGTTATCTGGTCTCTCTTTCTGGTCAGTTAGTTCCACTCCAGTACCAGCTCAGCCTGGATAGAACCAGGACTAAGCAGATTCTAAACAGTTCCTGGTGCTGGTCAAACGAGGCCAGTGGAAACTTCCTCATCACCTATTTTTGTCTTTCTCCATAAACTTGTGACTGTTTCTGAGTGTCATGTTCATGTTTACACTGCTGCTCCATAATCCACTAGTATTTGCCCTCAGTGCTGCTGCTGCTGCTGCTACTGCTGCTGCTGCTGCTGCTGCTGCTGCTGCTGCTACTGCTGCTGCTGCTGCTGCTGCTGCTGTTGCTGCTGCTACTGCTGCTGCTGCTGCTGCTACTGCTGCTGCTACTGCTGCTGCTGCTGCTGCTGCTACTGCTGCTGCTGCTGCTGCTGCTGCTGCTGTGATTTCAGAGGCGCTAAAGATAACCACTGATACAGGCCGTGACCTCGACTCAAAGGAGAACTCTGTTTTGGTTTCCGTGTGTTGCCGGAGAGAGTGATCAAAAACCTAATTCAATTCCAACCATTTAAATTCATAATGCGAAAGTTGCTGATGCTAAATAGATTTTATACTTGCTTCTTTATTATGATGAATTTAGAGATTTTATATTTTCTTCTTTATTATGCTAAATCACAGTAATTTTCTCAGAGGACTTCCCAAAATTGTCGTTTTTCTTCAGCTACACACCTTCCTATTAGATGGTCTGAGAAAGATCCCTCTGAGTCACTATTTGATCTTTGATATTTATTCTGCTGATTTAAAGATGGGACAGAGGCCATGAAAATATGATTGATAATGAGTGGCATGGATTTTACAGTTCACCGTTGATTTTTTGTTGTTTGAAAGTTTGGTACCCCAGCTTTAATATTTGTGAACTGCTTTAATCAATGAAGATTTCCTGTTGTTGTTTGAGGTCTAAACTAGACATGGTTATTGTTTGCAAGAGACATTGTCCATCCATTCACCCGTTTTCCTCCACTTTACTCATTGCCGGATGGTGGAGGCAGCAGTCGGAGCAGAGACCCAGACTTCCTCTCCCCACCTCTCCTCCAGCTCATCTGGGGGAATCCTGAGGTGTTCCCTGGCCAGCTGAGAGACTTCCTATCCTGCTCTACCATAGACTATAGGAAGCCAATTTGAACATAAGCTAGCTGCAGCCAATTTCCTTATCTGGGCATTAGTTCCGACAGTGTTAGCTCGTGCCATAACAAGGGCATTTGCAAATTACTGATGTTAACATTTGATGCTAGCAACGATTACTGATCTCAAGGAGTTTACGTTTGCAGTCAATAGGAGCCAGAGCGAGTTGGAGCCAAACTTTGTTGCAGGATTACTATTCCAACAACACTCTTTTTGGGCTTCTTTGAGTTAGGTAATAGTCGCTTGAATTGAGTTTTTATCTTAATTTGAGTACATTCTGTGTGTGTTAAAGCAACATTTTCCAAGTGGATTATTATTTCAAGAACTGTTACTTTATTTTCTCATTCCAAGGCAGACATTTCTTGTATCTTTTTTTTTCTCTTTTTAAACAACATCATTTTTGCATGTCCCATTGGCATATCTGGTTTTAAAGCAGTCAGAATGGGTTCAAATTAAGCTACATTTTGCCAAATTTGAGCAATTTTTGACTTGTGACTTTTTGCTGTATAGTTTAACCCTTTACTCTTTCTTAATCACTGTGTCTTCTCTCTCTTTCCACCTGTGCTTCTCCAACCTCACATCAATCTAGACTCCTTCTTTTAAGTAGACTTGCTGCTGTTTGGTCCTCCCCCTCCTCTTGCCCCCGATCCTCACCCCCAGCACAGGGGCCTCCCAGCTCTGAATAAGCAGAGCGGGCCCCTCACACACACCCCACCAGGCGGACCTTCCTCCATTCAGGTCCTGGATGTTGGAACACCAGCCGCGGGACAAAAGCCACATTGAGACTGGTCTGGCCTGGCTCAGCACGTGTGTCTGCAGATCCTCTGGTCCATTTATTAAGTGTGGGACGCAGCGGCCAATCAGAGCGCAGCAGAGGTGAACTGTAAAAAGAACAGCTGCCTTTGGAGAAGGAGAGGGTTTTGACAAAGAAAAGTAGAGAGAGAGAGAGAGAGACCAGAAAGAGAAGGAGTGGGAGAGAGATCTGAGAGACCAGAGATAGGGTTACAGAAAGATCAGAGAGAGAGAGACCAGAGACTAGAGCGAAGGGGAGAGAGAGAGACCAGAGACAGAGAGAGAGAGGATTACAGAGAGTACAAAGAGGTAGAGAAAGAGTGACCAGACTAGAGCGAGGGAGAGAGAGAGAGACCAGAGACAGAGAGAGAGAGAGAGAGAGGGTTACAGAGAGTCCAAGGAGGGAGAGAGAGAGAGACTAGAGCGAGGGAGAGAGAGAGAGACCAGAGACAGAGAGTCCAAGGAGGGAGAGAACGATAGAGAGGGAGATTGACCAGAGAGAAACCAGAGTGAAAAAGAGCTTTATCCCAACACAAAGATACTAAAAGACCACAGCATGCTTGTTTTGGCGAGGGCATTTTAATTGTATAGCACAGATCATACACAAGGCAACTCAAAGTGCTTCATTAAACAATACAGAGACAATCAAACAAGGCGTTAAAATCAGGAATAATCACATTTAGTTGTTTGCAATTGTGTAAGAAAGATCTCTGTTTGACTCTTTGGGACGAGAGCTGATTGGCTGAGTGAGGGTGGTGGGTGGTCCTAGTTTTTTTACTCATCTGTCTGGATAAGCTGATCTGAAGATGTGACAGAGGCCAAAATATTTCCAGTTTTACCTTGAGATGTGAGTCTTTCCTCCTCTGCATGTGTTTTAGAGATGAAAAAACCCCATATTCATAGCCTCATTATCCTCATAAATGGCCTCGCATTATGTCCCGTCTCGCTCTCGACTACTGGACTAAAGCGTTTTGCACTGGATCATGGAGAGGTCGCCCAGTCCTCCGCCGCGCCTGTAGCCCAGAGCGAGGAGCCGGTGCTGGGGTAATGAGGCCTCCTGTGTGCCCTCTCCGATCTGAGAGCCGGTGATTTCCCACGAGACTCAGCCATTTCCAGCTCCTCACCTCCAGAGCTGTGGAGGAGGGGGGTCGTGCTGTCAGCCTGCTCTGCCGCACCGGCCGTGAAGGAGGAGGTGCCTGCTTCATGGAGCCAAAAATATCTGGAGATTCCTGAAAATGTGAGACAGGCTTCTTCTCTGACAATGTTCAAATCCAGGTTAAAAGCAGTTCTTGTTAGCTGTGCATAAAACGGAGGGATTTTTTCTTGATTATTAATGGTACTTTGAGTTTCCTTCTGTATGAATTGTGCTATATAGATAAACTTAACTTGTCTTGTGATTCGACGCTGCATTGTTCAACACTTTTCCGTCTGAGGATTGAGTTTGAAAAGAGAGAATTTGGATAGAAAGGGCAAGAAACTGATAAAGTTAGCCTGGATTAAGATTCAGAGGTCCCTTTATATGTTCCACAGCGGGGAAATTTCAGTGTTGCATCACCGGTTATAGAACTCTATACTTTAAAAATAAAACAACATCTCTATCTTTAGCTGAACAAAAATGATATACTTGTAAATAAAAATAAGATTAAGCTAATTCAATCTGAAAAAACACAGATTTAGCATGTTTGCATACATATATTGTGGCTACATGATTACACGTATGATTTGGTGCTATCAAATTTTTTGCATTACGGTTTGGCGATTAGAACCCGGCGGAAATACTACATGACGGAGACACGTACACTTAGTGAGAATATTTAAATGTGCAGTTAGTTTGATGTTTTGGAAAAGGACAAAAACAAAAATTGAAGCCGTATTGGTGACAGGCGATGTTGGGTGTGAAAAAACAAAACAAGGGACACAATAAAGGTTAATATTGGTTAATCTCCTTCTGAAAGTTAATAAAATACATGGGATTTTGATATAGATTATGAGAGTATGATAACGTCAAGATTCTCCACTGAAAAGGCGGTGACGGGGAGGAGGAGGGTTGCAGCAAGAACCGGAGCGCAACACACACACACACACACACACACACACACACACACACACACACACACACACACACACACACACACACACACACACACACACACACACACACACACACACACACACACACACACACACACACACACACACACACACACACACACACACACACACACACACACACACACACACAATCACAATCAATTAACAAAGCATAAATTCAGATCCAGTTTATTTGCCATTTAAAGTAAAAACATGTGCTAAAGTCCCCAGTGTGCACCAGACAGGTACATAAAAACATAAACAAAACGAAAGCGAAAAAGTAATTAGTTCCTCTTCTAACACCTCCCAAACGCAGACAGCGGTGGGTGGTCCGACTCCATGACCACAAGGAGCTCTGACACTTCCATGTTTTGTTAATATGGACTCCGCTGCAGCTGCTGAACGAGTCAATCCGTCACAACGTTATGACGGTTTGAGCGACCGCAGCTTTCGTTCCAACAGACATTGCATTTTGTGGTTTTACAGAAGGTTTTCGTCTCGTTGCGTTTGAGAGTTGGACCCCAGACGGACAGAGAGAGAGAGAGAGAGAGAGAGCTTTTAACCGGAGCACCCAGAGGAAATCCACACAGGGATGCTGCCTTTTCAGTTCAACTCAATTCAATGTATTCTTGTATGTCCGTAAATCTCAACATTAGTTACTCGCCAACACAGATCAGAGAATCAAAAAGTTCAAACACGAGAAATGCAATGAAATGTCCATGAACTATTTATGTTATTTAGATTATTATTTTATTTAGACTTTTATTTTATGGGAGGCACAGGTAGCTAATAAGATATAGAAAACAAAAATGTGTTGCTAGCTTTAGAGATGGTAAACTTGCCTCTTTATTATGATAAAGTTGTTTGGAATGGTTTGAGAGTTAATTACCCCAACTTTAAAGTTAAAGTCAGATTAGTAATTTAAGGTGTAGTTTATTGTCCCTGTAGGCAAATTTGTCCTGAAAATGTAACATTAATGGTACATGGGAGGATTTTCCCAAATTTTAGGAAAGGACCGCCCTCTCTGGTCTTATTTGACGAGCACGTATCACCACAGAATGATTGACAATTAGAAGAACCAATATTCTTGTTGATCCACCCGGAAGTAGAAAATCCTCCTATATCCTAGATCGTTTATTTGTGCCGGAGTCTGGACATTTCAGTGTTGCATCACCAGAGGAGTAAGAGTAAAGAACACACAGTACAAGTCGACATTAACTAAAATAAATCTGTCATCTCGTTCCTGCCGCGCCGCTGTTTTCACCGATAACAGAAGATTTGTTTTCTCCAAACAGAGATCAGGGAAAAGAAAATCTGCTTCAATTGTTTTGTCAGGAACGAGGAGGAATATGGAGGATTTGGGAAAAGGCCAAACCACAAAACTTGATCATATTAAAGGGAGAATGAAAGAGTAAAACCGTGTTCTCGGAGTGTGTTGTTGGTGATGGAGGGCGTCAACAAGAGAGAGATGGGTCAGTAGTAGTCATAGCTAGTAATAGTAGTAGTAGTGGCAATAGTAGCAGTAGAAATTATACTTGTAGTCGATACGAGCAGTGGCAGTAGTTGTGTAGTAGTAGCAGTAGCAGTAGCAGGACTGTACCAGGTCTAAACCAGGACTATGCCAGGTCTAAACCAGGACTATGCTAGGTCTAATCCTGATAAAAACCAGGCAGGACTATGCCAGGACTAAACTAGGACCTAACCAAGACTATCCCAGGTCTAAACCAGGTCTAAACCAGGACTATGCCAGGACTAAACTAGGACCTAACCAGGACTATCCCAGGTCTAAACTAGGACTAAACCAGGACTATCCCAGCTCTAAACCAGGTCTAAACCAGGACTATGCCAGGTCTAAACCAGGGCTATCCCAGGTCTAAACTAGGACTAAACCAGGACTATACCAGGTCTAAACCAGGTCTAAACCAGGACTATCCCAGGTCTAAACCAGGACTATACCAGGACTATGCCAGGTCTAAACCAGGGCTATCCCAGGTCTAAACTAGGACTAAACCAGGACTATACCAGGTCTAAACCAGGTCTAAACCAGGACTATCCCAGGTCTAAACCAGGACTATCCCAGGTCTAAACCAGGTCTAAACCAGGACTATCCCAGGTCTAAACCAGGTCTAAACCAGGACTATGCCAAGTGTAAACTAGGACTAAACCAGGACTATGCCAAGTGTAAACTAGGACTAAACCAGGACTTTGCCACGTCTAATCCAGATCTAAACCAGGACTATGCCAGGTTTAAACCAGGTCTAGACCAGGACTATGCCAGGTTTAAACCAGGTCTAGACCAGGACTATGCCAGGTCTACAGAGAGACACAAGTTGTTTTTCACCCCTTTATCCCCAGCTCTTCCCTTCCTCTCTCCCTTAAACCCTTTAGTCTGAGTCTGTGCTGGTTTCTGGTCTTTGTAATCGTGCTGTTGACTCTCCAGCTCAGTGTTGTTGTTTCTGCTTTTTAGGGATCCCCTCTGTCCGTAATCTCCGCTAATCTAATCTGTCCACTCTCTAATAGACTGCGAGTGTGTCGGCTCGGCAGGAAAAGCCCCGAACCGCAGGAGAAATGAGGAGGACCTGAGTGACCCCTGAGTCAGAACAAAACCTCCAACCACAGAGCGAGAGGAGGGAAGGAAAACATGAAAACATCTCTCTCTGCTCTCTCTCTCTCTCTCTGGTTTCCTCTCCTCTTCCTCGGCTCTTTCTCTACTCTCTCTCTGGTCTCTCTCTGCTTTCTCTCTACTCTGTCTCTGCTACTCCCTGGTCTCTCTCTCTGGTCTCTCTCTGCTCTCTCTCTGCTCTCTCTCTCTCCTCTCTTTCTCTGCTCTCTTTCAGCTCTCTCTCTGCTCCCCTCTTCCCAAACACTCCAAACATCCTCCAGCACACACACACACACACACATATATCCCTGTGTGGTGGCGGTGGTGCGGGGGGAGGGCGACCTCAGCACTGGGCCAGGAAATAACCCGATTATTATGGGGTGTGATGGCAGCGGCCGCGGCTAAATGCTCATTAATTGCGCGGTGCAGTGGTGTGGATGTAAACAGTGTGTATTTATAGATTACAGATTACATAAGGCCACAGTGCAGCCTCAGTCCCAGCCAAGTCCTGCAATATCACAATGTAAGGAGATTGGGTAGAGGTGGTGGAGAGGAGAGGCTTTGTAGAGTATAGTAACTAGAGATTGACCAGAATGTACCCTGGTGTCAGACTCTGCGGTGGTAAAGTGACAATGTTTAGGATTCTTTTAGCACTATACTGTTCAAATCTGTCCAAAAATGACTGGGAGTGGATCTCTCTCTCACTATGGGTCTCCCCAAAGTTTTATTACATTTTTTAAGCCAAACTGTAGTGTTTCAGTACTGACCTGGTTCAGTCCTGGTTTAGACCTGCTTTAGACCTGCTTCATTCCTGCTTTAGACCTGCTTCAGTCCTGCTTTAGACCTGCTTTAGACCTGCTTTAGACCTACTTCAGTCCTACTTTAGACGTGCTTTAGAACTGGTTCAGTCCTAATTTAGACCTGCTTCAGTCCTGGTTCAGTATTGCTTTAGTCCTGTTTTAGTCCTGCTTTAGACACGCTTTAGACCTGCTTTAGACCTCCTTTAGTCCTGCTTCAGTCCTGCTTCTGTCGTCTCTCTTGAAAGCAAAATCTCACATTTCAAAACTTTTTGCGCTCGTTCCGACCAGTACTTTCCAGGCTGTGTATTTAAGGTGGCGTGTGATTGGTCAAAGTGAAAACAAACACATATGTGAAAGAAACGCATTATTTACACATAAATAAGTACAAATGATCGCACATCTCTGCAATATGGATTCCGCAGATGCCATTATCAAAGTTTAGATAAATCTGATTAGCAAAGACAAGAACACACAGGGAGTTGCTAGAGAATAAGTCGCATATAATTGAAGTCAAGAGAAAAAATGAGTGGATAAAAAGCACAATAGTGACTTCTAAAATATGTAAAAAACACAACCCAACTAATCCACTCAAGTTTAAATCAATTCGTCTATCTCATCTTTCTTATCTTCCTCCTCGAAGCCACATGTGCCCAGGGCTGGTTCTGGCTGAATGCTCTGTGAAGGCGGCCATCTTGGTATGGTATGGCGGCCG